GGCGAGGAGCGGGGGGGGAAGGCAAGATGGAGGAAAGGCAAGGGGGGGTGGAGGAGACGGGGGAACCAGCGGGATGGGGGGTACTTACCTCCTCCTGCTGCTTCCTCTGCCTCCCCCCCGTGAGTATCGCGGGCCCCGCCCCTTGTCCCTTCTAATCAAGGCTACCGTGAAACCTGATCTTGCACTCTTCAAAGTGTCCTGTTGCTTTTTCAAAGCGATAACAAAAGTGTTGCAGTCTATAAATAAAAATGGGGTTACCTTGGGGGGTCACCACAGCAAAAAGCTAACTTCTGTCCCTCACCTAAATAAGCTGTGTGCTTCTGCTGAGAATCTGCAAGAGGCACTTACAATACATGACTGCTGAAAACACCGGTGCCACAATGAGATTTCTGGGTGCCGTAGTGTCCTGGAGTCTGGGATTGGTTGGGCCGTGCTTTATACCACATGAAGCTGCCTTATACTGAATCAGACCACTGATCCATCCCCATCAGTATCGTCTACTCAGGACTGGCAGGGGCTCTCCAGGGTCTCAAGCGGAGATCTTTCACATCACCTACTGCCTGGTCCTTTTACCTGGAGATGCTGGGGATTGAACCTGGGACCTTCTTCATGTAAAGCAGACGCTGTACCATTGAGCCACGGCCCCTCCCTTAACAATGGCCCTGACTCTCCATACACTCTGCCGCCCCCCTCCCCACAACGGGTATCTCCCCGCGTCCATTGCTTACCAATCTCTTGACCCTTTTCCGCCTCTCCTTTTCGACCTCTGGCATCTTGCTCCAGTTTGGCGTAGCGGTTAAGTGCGCGGACTCTCATCTGGGAGAACTGGGCTTGATTCCCCACTCTTCCACTTGCAGCTGCTGGATGACCTTGGGCAAGCCATAGTTCTGTCAGAGCTGTCCTTGAAAAAGAGCAGTTTATCTCCGAGCTCTCTCAGCCTCCCTTACCTCACAGGGTGTCTGTTGCGGGGAGGGGAAGGGAAAGGGATCGTAAGCCGCTCTGAGACTCTGCGTGAAGGGTGGAGTATAAATCCAGTCTCCTCCTCCTCCTCCTTCTCTTCCTCACTGGTTCCTTGGATGTCTTTGCTTCCAGCAGTGTACCACACCTGCGAAGCCTCCAGTTTCCAGTGCCACAACGGACACTGCATCCCCCAGAGGTGGGTCTGCGATGGCGACGCTGACTGCCAAGACGGATCTGACGAGGACCCGACCATCTGTGGTACGGCCTACGTTTACAACTGGTGGGGAAGGGCTAAAAGATGTCTCTCCCCCCCTCTCCCACCCAGCCCAGTTTGCTCCCTGCCTTAGAAACAAACAAGCTGTAATTGGGTCCTCTGGAGACTGACCTGCAGCCAAGGAAATGTTCATCGGTCGGTCTTTT